CAACCCGAGTTTCCTGCTCAGTCAGGGTGCGACAAACCCTCTTGATCTGATCATCTTTCTCTTCCACCTCCTGCGGAAGCGAATTGTTCTGAGCTTTCAGAATGTCCAGCTCGTCCTGAAGTTGCAGGTAGGCGTCTCGGTCCTGTGCCAGGGACTGATTCTGTTGCTTCAACTGATTCAATTCGTCCTTCAGCTTCTTCTGCTCTTCTTGATGCTGGCTGCTAAGTTGGGCCTGTTGATTGTGCAAGGCTTCCACGTCGATCTGCTGCTGATGCAACTGCATTTCCATTTGGTCGAATTGAAAATTGAAAAGTGATAGATATAATTTTCAAAACACTCTTGGAAGAATCTGTTGGACCTTTTTTATATCTCTGTCCAAGAGGGGTATTGAAGAAGGCAATGGACGAATCTGGTACTTTTTTCTTGAACTTCGGAACAGTTCCAAGATTTGCTATTCTCATCAGTCTTTGTGTCGAAACAAACCTTCAAGATCTCATTTCAAAGAAAAAAATACTTGCTCCTAACTATGTTTCCTTCTTTGAAACATGGGCAGTTCTTTAGAGGTTTATTGAAGCAATAATTTTTGACATCCTGGACTCATTAATTTTTGATGCCAGCATGCCAGATGCCAGATTATGAAATTGGAACAATTATTTAAATTTAGGCCTAACGACACATTCGGCATTCGGCCTAATGACCCATTACTCTATGAGTATATTCGTAAATAGAGTATTTTGTTCCTCGAATTTTACCACAATCACGAAGAGGACCATAATCACGAAGATGAAGAAAATCGAAAAACTACAAGGGGCAGCCCCATGGGGTTGTACGCAATGGTGACGTAGGACTACGTGGTCTTATATAATAAATCTTATTTGTTAACTGCAGCAGGAGCTTGTGTTTTGTGTAGGAGTAGGAATTTGAGAGGGATTCTCTCTGTTAATACTCTTTAGCATGACGCGCTTGACATAGATGACTCACTGCGACTCACTACGCGGTGATTTAATAAACACCGTTTGGTGAAACCAGATGGAATTCAACTTTGAAATCTGTGTTAGGGAAATCGGTTTTTGCAGGCAATCGATGATAATTTTAATTATCATAGCAACAGTTGAACATTCGTGCAATTTTAAATAGTGACATTTTAAAAAATGATAAAGTCTTGAATTTTACAGATGCATAGGAATATTTCTGATCAATTGGTGATAAAATTATTGAAATTGGTCCAGGGGCAGCTGAGTTATTAACGTTAAAAATCTTTCATAATTTTGTTTCATGTTCCATTTTCGGTTTTCACAAAGTGTACCCCCATATATAAATCACAGACGTAGTCCTACGTCAAAAAAACTAGAAGGAACAGCCCCCTATGGGGTTTTTTTTTATATAATGCGTTTATTTTTCCAGGCTCATTTGCTGTAGCTTTGCGAAGCCGATATTCATTGTTTAGATTACAAAATTACTTAAAACTAACGTTAGTAAAGTGGGGACCGATTACTCGTGGCTATCTCGAGGTTAGGGGAACAAATTGTTGCAAATGGATGGCAGGGTAGGGATTGTGAACACAAGGTTTGGAGAGCAATGTGCTCTTGATCTCGAACTAAGCGACACTCTGATGAAAAAGACAAACATGGGGGTACACCGATGGAGAGCTAACAACTTGGGAGAACACAAGATGACACTAACTACTAAATCCTCAGATCAGGGCAAGATCACAGGACTTCAACGGTAAGTGGAGAAGCGTTCCAGAGGGAGCTTTGAAGACATCTGACAAAGGTTTGAAGAACTTTTAGGACATATTTGCAGATCTTGAATCAAATCTATTTGTTTGTTAATGAATCTTCATTAAATTCACAACATTTGATTCCTCAGAACTTCTTAAAAGTTCCTACAATTGTTGTGAAGTTAATGGAACTTCACTGAAGCTCTCTAATATTTCATAAATTTAATTAAAAACTTTGATTCAACTCTCAGCATCATTGCACGTTTATCAAAGGAAATCATATAATCAAAATCATGCATGATATTTTGCTCCAGTATCACGCGTGGTATTGAGACCGTATGAGAGCTGAAAAGTATCAATTTGCTAATGATTATGCCATAACTGCTGGGCATAATGAATATTATGAAGGATTTATGGAATATCCGTCGGGAATGTTTAAGATTTCCGTAGGGAACGGCTGAATCCAAGTCTGCAATTTTAGACGTCAAAACATCACTCATGACGAGCGCTTCATCTGGGAACAACTGGAGTACCCGTCAGGAACGTCTGGAATCCATGTCGGAAACATATGAAACTGCTGGAATCTCCACCGGGACACGAACTACTGGAATCCTATTTGAGAATGTCCAGAATCACTTCGAAATCATCCGGAATAACCATCTATAACGTCGGAAATCTTCATCGGGAGCTGCTAGGATCCTCGTCAGGAATGTCCGAAATCAATGGGAATGTCTAGTATTTCAGTTATTTTTGCAAAGAAGATACTGAGAAGCACTGGTATTTTCTTCAATAACTGGTATAATTCCTACAAGGACCGTCTAGAGCCTCCGTTAGCAATATATGAAATCCCCAATAGGAATGTCTGGTATCTCTTTCGGGAACAGCTGGAATCCCCACCGGGTCTGGAATTTCCATCGGGGGAATCCTCTTCTGGAATGTCCGGAAAAAAATCAGGAACGTCTGGAGTTTCCCCGGGAAGTACTGAAATCATGGACCGGTTGTCCGAAATCAATGGGAATGGCTGGTATCTCCGTTGAGATCTGGACATCCCTACCGGAAATGATGGTTGGTAACATCTAGAATATCATTCGGGAACTACTGGAATTCCCACCGGGAACGTATGCAAATTCCAGTGGAAGCTGCTGGAATCTTCACCAGGAATGATTTCGGAAACGTCTGGAATCTTCATCGGGAACTGCTGGAATCATTGTCGGGAAAGTCCAAAATCAATTTGAATGTCTGGTAAAGGATGTCCACGATGAAATTGCCACACACAAAATTGATTCGCAAAATTCGAGTTTTCATCCGATTGCCATCAAATTTTCAGGGATTGAGAAATAACTATTAAACTTCATTTTACCATGCTACTCGTATTTTATTTACAGTCCATACGCAAATGCCCGCACCTTGGCCTTAACCCCGGCCATAAGATTCTGCACAACCTGTGAATCAACCGTTTTTTGCATGTAAACCCATACTTTCTTCAGTTCCTCGACTGTCTTCACTACCTTAGGTCGTTTAAGAAGGTGCTGCTTCATAATCGCCCAGTACTTCTCGATGGGGCGGAGCTCCGGAGTGTTGGGAGGGTTGAAAATTTTCGGCACGAAATTGACCTTATTGTCCGCATACCACTTCAGCACGTCCTTGGAGTAGTGGCATGAGGCCAAATCCGGCCAGAAGATTGTTGGGACGTTGTGGGCCTTCAGGAGAGGAAGCAGCCGCTTCTGGAGGCACTCTTTTATGTACACCTGTCCGTTCATCGTGTCCTGGGTCACGAAAGGTGCACTCCGCTTCCCGCACGTGCAGATGGCTTGCCAAACCAGGAATTTCTTCGCAAATTTGGACATCTTCTGAGTGCGGACATGCTCCGGAACGCTGAACTTATCCTTGGCCGTGAAAAACAGGTTGCCGGGGATCTGTTTGAAGTCGGCCTTCACATATGTTTCGTCGTCCATGATGCAGCATTCAACTTTCGTCAGCATGTTGAGGTACAACTTCCTGGCACGGGTTTTGGCGGACTTGTTCTGCTTCTCGTTGCGATTAGGGGCCTTTTGTACCTTGAACGTTCGAAGCCCAGCCTTAGTTTTGGCCTTCTGGACAAAACTTCGGCTTAGGTGCAGCTTCTTAGCCACATCCCTAACGGAGGCGTTCGGATTTCGTTTGAAGGCCCCAACTACGCGGTTGTGATTTTTGGTGTTGTACGGAATACTTTTTCCTTCACTTCTGGGCTTCCGATCGGTGGTCAACCGTTCCTCGAACCGCTTAATAACTCGCGACACCGTGGAATTCGCGATTCCCAACGTTTTAGCGATGGAACGATGCGAGAAATCCTTGTTCTCGTGATGAATGCGCAAGATTTTATCACGCACGAGCTGTTCTTTCGACTCCATTTCCGCGAGTTTTGATCACAGGACTTTAAAACTTGCAGGATGTAAATAATGCACTATGAACTAAATCCACCCAAATTTTCATTAAATTCTACCCAACGGTTAAAAAGTTAGAGCAATTTCATAGTGTGGCAACTTCATCGTGGACACCCTTTATCTCCTTCGACGACTGGTGAAATTCCTAACAAAACCGTCTGAAATCTTTGCTGGCAACATCTGGAATCCCCGTAGGGAATGCCTGGTAACTTCCTCTAGATCTGCTGGAATCCCCACTGGAAACGTCTGATATTTCCATAGCGAACTGGTGTAATCCTCAATTAAAGAAAATCTAAAGAACTTTTCAGAAGTTCCAGGATCTTGATTGAAGATGTTTAGAAAATATTTGGTCAAATTAGTAGACACCCTGTAGATAGAGAAAGACGATTAAATGTCAAAAAGCTCTATAGAAGCACAACACCTTGGAATTGTTAGAAAATTAGATTAGAACCTACACACTGCAAGAAGAATGATCAATCTTGAAATAAATTGACTAGTGATAGGTAAATTTCCATTATTAAACCTGCGAATATTGACGAAATGGCTAACTTATAAAAATGCAAATTTACCCTTAAACGCGTGAACGGCATACATACCCAGTATGAATGGTGAATGGTTTCTCCGTTTGTCTGTGGAAAAAATGGCATTATTTTGCGCACGTTAATCAAAATTTTACCATTGCTTTCATATTTAAACCAAACGCTCAAGAAAACGTGCAACTATTTGATTTGTCTTAGGTACCAATTTGAGTTCGAGTGTTTGAAGGTCTACAGGTGTGTACAGTTAATTGTACTGAAAACTGACCAAGTTAACTACGGAGACCATTACAATTCAAATCACGCAGCTCACTGCTTCCTTCTTGGGTGAAAGTCAACGCGAAATGCAACCGTTCAAGTGCACCTCCCTATAGAGCCATATTACCCACGTGCTGCTGCAGAGGTACCTATATACTAACCCACTTATTCATGCATTCATTACATCCATTTTCCCTAACCTTGACTTCCGCGAATAATGGCGTGAGCTTTCTTCACGACCTAAGTTTTTATTTTTCCACCGAGAAGCACAGCCAGTGGGTTGAGTGGGCGTGTGATACTGCGCTTTACTTCCAGGGAAGTGGTGTAAAGTGAACCGTTTCAGATCACTAACTGGGCAAAGACATGCGAAGATGTGTATCACTCACTGACGGGACGGCTGCTTACAACGCGTCTGACGGAAGATGATTTACCATGGCTCATTGCATAACAATTGACTGCCGGTTTCTATTGGCAAAGGCAAGCTGCTATATGCTAATCGGACGAAACAATGATAACAAATCCGTGTCGAATGGGTTTTCCGAACCATTTGCTTTCCAGGGTGAATCAGAAAGCGCTAACCATGGGTATTTATTTCTAGATGAACATTGTCTGTCTATTCCTAACCTTGAGCCTTGGCAGCGGCTTTCCGGATATTGCTCAGCAGAGCTAGGTACTCGTCCTTGTAGCACTGGAACACGGCATAGACCTGTCCACAGTAGTCATCCGCCGGGACGTTCTTCGTCTGCTGCTTGATGCACTTGTTGTGCTGATCGGCGAAGGCCTTCTCCTCGGTCGCAGCTCGACCTTGGCGAAACATTTGCCACGTATCGTGCATGTGGACCCCATTGATGTCATCGTACACTCCGAGGTTTAGGCCAATGCACCGCATCACACACTTGCTATCGCGATCGTCCGGGAAGTCTCCATTCTTGTAGCGTTCTAGCAGATCCGCCGAGGGCTTCTGATCGTGGGTACAGACCGAGATCAACCGATTCACCAGTTCGCCGGCGTTCTAGATTTTCCGGAGATCACAGGTGATGGTAGAGTTATTTTTTGGGAAATTGGCATTCGAAGGATACTTACAGCTGGAGCGGCTAGGAACACTGCCACAATAACCAAAAGGCCAAGGACTTGGACTGCTTTCATCTTTACGCTGATATTACTTGATACTGTTCTGATCCAAGCTCGCTGGAACCTCGGCTATTTATACTCGCAACGTTTTCGCAAGCCGTATTGCAGAACAAAAGGTTGCTACATGGGGAATAACGTAACGGCTCGGTAGCATCTTCGCAACCCCGCGAACAAAGATGATCAATTTGGGTGATTGTACTTTACAACTTACCTTACAGATGGTCTTTTCCGTAATATTCAAATGATGTCACTGACTCCAGGTGCGTCCGATCTGATCTGATGGAGCAGATTAAGATCGAGAACTGCAGATCCAAGTTATCAGAAACTGATTAATCAATGAGGCGATAAATTCTACTGTTCGTTGATATTCAGTTCATAAACATGTTCCAATCAAAGTGTTAGTTAGCTCTATACATTTCAAATAGGTTCCTATTACCTTTTTGATCTGTTGAGATCAGTGATGATCGATTAATAATTCAAGCGGTTTTCTTTAATCGTTGTAATGACCAGGACTGGCAGGTTTGTTTACTGTTTCAAGCACAATTACACTGGATTTTCTGCGACGATTATTCACCGACACGTGTTGGAATTCGGAGATTCCTAATCACTTAATCGCATTGATCAGATTGTATGTAAATTTCAAACAGGTCGGCGTATGCATAGCATCGGTCGATAGTTCAAGATATGATTCCTGTCGGAGAAATCATTTTCTAACAACTTCAAGATATCACTGCAATTTTTAACATGCTACGAGTTTCCCGATTCTCACAGACTTCAAGTCTAATTGATTGATGATTGATGATACGTATGCTAGGCTCCATAGCGGATTATTCAGCAATTAAAAGGGTTTTCGAATAATACCGGCCGCCCTCGAACGGGAGCTATCATTTCGGTTCGGACCGTGCGGTTGCAAAGTGTTCCAATTCAGAGTCAGCCAGGGTTCAGTGTAGGGAAGAAGGGAGCTTCAAAGGAGACATTTAATTGCTTTCGAACGACAGACGCGCGTGGTGACGATTTTGAACCAGAAACAAAGTGGTAATCGAACTGCCGGAAGGAATGGAATTTGTACAGGAGTATACGGCCGAGGAGGCGGCTAATATTGATAAGGAGTTTACACGGTTGAAAGGTAGGTGGCAGCAATTAAATCGATATTTTCGGAAGCGCTCAATACTATTTTTTGTGAAACAAGTTTCAACCAGTGCACTGTGGGCTGATTTATGCACATTAAAATGCATAGCGCTTAATGGTCTTCTCCACCTTATGTACGATCAGAACAAACTTATGGAAAATAAGTCTGAAGAATTAGGCGAATTAAGTAGGTAGACGCTGTCAGAAAAGTAGTGCAATGTAATTTTGAAACCGCCCAATACTGGTGAAAGCAAAAACAAACAAATTTCGAAACACACTTAAAATCCATTGATTTACTATCGTTATGAATAAATACCGTGGACATGGGCTTTTCCACGCGGTTTGTAATTCCGCTCACTCGGCTGTGGATTCAGGAGTATCAAATTATTCAAAAAGTATGTTGGTTACGACTTTAACCAAAAAAAATTCATTACGACCGGTTTTTGTATGGAGTCGCCCCACGGTGCACTGATTAGCTGATTAACCAATAGGTTGAATTTTGGAAATAGAGAGATTGTTGCTAGATTTTTTTTTAGAAATTTTGAACTTGGGAAAAGTGGTGACCCAGTGAAATTTGTTCTGAGACCTCGGACTTGAAAGAATCTTCAAGACATTTTGAGGTGAATTCTTTAGTTCTGATTCTGGATCATACAACATTTTGAACAAAGGTCCATGAAAGTTCTCAAAAGAGTTCAATGGAATTGTTGAGGATGATTCCTAAGAAGTTCTGTGAAAGATTTCAAGGGGATTCCGAGTATAATAAGAGTAACTATTCCAATGGAATTCAATTGAGAGGTATAAGGTTGGTTGGAAATGCTAACATGAAGCTTTAGTGTGATGATTTATTAGCTAGAGAATGATCTTTAGAAGAGTGTAGGTGGATAGTTCCGTTAGAGTACGGCAGTATGAAAATTGAATAGAAGTTGAAAATGAGCGAAGGGCCATTAAAGCGACAGTTTTCAAGATAGACGCACATTTTTGCCTAGCCCGTACGATGTACGCGGGGACTTGAAGTATGTCTCCAAGTCCACAGGCAAAAATGTGCGTCTATCTTGAAAACTGTCGCTTTAATGGCCCTTCGCTCATTTTCAACTTCTATTCAATTTTCATACTGCCGTACTCTAACGGAACTATCCACCTACACTCTTCTAAAGATCATTCTCTAGCTAATAAATCATCACACTAAAGCTTCATGTTAGCATTTCCAACCAACTCTGAAAATCGTTAACTTCGCGTATGAAGTAACATAAAAAAAAAAAAAAAAAAAAAAAAAAAAAAAAAAAAAAAAAAAAAAACACTTTGAAGGTATAAGGTATTTTAAAAAGCATTCCAAACCCAAGTAGAACACATCTGTCACACAAAGTTGCAGCCAGGCATGGAAAATCATTTACATTCATTTCATGCATTCATTTACATTCATTTGCGTCTAACTTTTTTCATCAACAGCATTCCGCAAAATGTTGTTTAAAGCTTGAGTAGGTTTTGTTATTTGCTACAACTTTTGCCCATAACTCAAATCTGTATCTTTTATGCATCACGAATTAGAGCGGGCAGAACTTGTTACTGTTTTTCAGTGAATGTAAAATACATTCACTGAAAAACAGTAGTGGCTTCTGTTCGATCTGGTTCGTCATGCATAAGAGATACGGATTTCAGTTGTTAACAAAAGTTGTAGGTAATAGCAAAACCTACAACTACCATACATCATTTTGAGGAATTTTGTTGATGAAAAAAGTTAGGGGCAAATGAATGTAAATGAATGCACGAAATGAATGCAAATGATTTTCCATGCTTGGTTGCAGCAACTTAATACGAAATCCACAGGACATGGGACTGTTATGAGAATAGCGGAACCTTGGGATACAAAGGAAGGAATCTTATGAGGGAGAGTTAATGTTAGTGCTAAGAAGAATCCCATGGGAATTGTTAAGAATATTCAAGTTGGTTTTAACCTTCGCGCCCCCTTTTTGTAACACGAGCACTCGCGGGTTGTACAGAATACAACAGAATGCTATTTTTACCTTGAGGGCACTTGAAACCTGATATTCTCCAAAATATTCTTCAAGCATTAGCCTATTGGACATGGGTATTCAATTTCATAAAACATGTTTAGTTTCAACTTGAGCGAGTTTTGAAACTGATTTTGGAATCAGTAGGCTTTTATTTTATTTGTCATCAATTTTGTACTTTGAACAACGGCGCGAAGACTGAAACGTTGAAGAGAACATTGTATGGTGAATTTTAAGAGAATTCGAACTATGATTCCAAGGTAATATTGAGAAGATGTTTAAGGAGAATTGCAATATTGCTTTGAGTAGAATCCAGAACTATTGTAAGAAGAAATAAAGGTAAATTCCAAGGTAGTTCTGAAGAAACTATTACGGGGATTGTGAGGAGAATTTCTGGGAAATCTAGAGCAATTCAATGTCGTTTTTGAGCAAATTTCCAAAGAATTCTCAGCAGCATTCCAGGATGATTTGGAAGAATGTTCCAAAGGAATTTAGAGAATAATTATGAGGGAATCGAATTCTCAGATCAGATCCAAACACATTCTCTCAAGGAAATTTCGAGAAGAATTTCAAGAGAATTCTGAGAAACAATTCCGTGGAATTCTGATGTAGGACAATAATTTGGAATACATCTGGTGAATTTCCAGAGCAGGAGAATCCAGAGGATATTTCCTAGATAATTCTAATAAGAATTTCAAGAAAACTCTGAGGTTAACTTTAATGGAATTCTGAGGAGAATTCCATGCTAAGAAATGAAGAAGTTTTCTAGATTCTTAAATGCTCTCAAGGTTCTAAAGTTTACAAAGCTATTAAAACTGTCGGACATAGGACATCAACGCACTTTTGAGCATTCAAAGTGTTTTTATGTTACTTCATACGCGAAGTTAACGATTTTCAGAGTTGGTTGGAAATGCTAACATGAAGCTTTAGTGTGATGATTTATTAGCTAGAGAATGATCTTTAGAAGAGGGTAGGTGGATAGTTCCGTTAGAGTACGGCAGTGTGAAAATTGAATAGAAGTTGAAAATGAGCGAAGGGCCATTAATGCGACAGTTTTTGAAGATAGACGCACATTTTTGCCTAACCCGTACGATGTACGCGGGGACTTGAAGTATGTCTCCAAGTCCACAGGCAAAAATGTGCGTCCCTCTTTTTGCTCATAAACTGACTAGCGGTTCTAGCGACGTTTTCATCACTACCTAAAGCCCCACGTTGCGAGAGCATTTCCTGTTTTTGCCTGTGGACTTGTAGACATACTTCAAGTCCCCGCGTACATCGTACGGGTTAGGCAAAAATGTGCGTCTATCTTCAAAAACTGTCGCATTAATGGCCCTTCGCTCATTTTCAACTTCTATTCAATTTTCACACTGCCGTACTCTAACGGAACTATCCACCTACCCTCTTCTAAAGATCATTCTCTAGCTAATAAATCATCATACTAAAGCTTCATGTTAGCATTTCCAACCAACTCTGCACTTTTGAGGTTAGAGCAGCTCACTAAAAGGAGTCGATTCTTTTGAACAGCTCTTCAGCTCACATTGGAATTTTAGAAATTATGATACAAATCCAAAATCGGAAAATTAATTAGTGGTTTTAGTGCTTAAAACTGCATAAAATCGTAAATGTATGCGAGAGAGCTACACCTATGTCACACGCGATGATATGATTGACATCGTGGCACACGATGTTACGCCTTTTCTCAAGCTATGCAATCCAGTTTACATTCAAATTTTATTTCTGATGTTAATTCTCCACTATTCTCGGTATCACCTCCGATCCGGATCCGGAGCTGAATCGTAAAGAATCGGGATAGAAAAAAAAGATCCGAAGAGCTGGACGGGTCCGAGAGTTGTCATCCTAAACGGCTCTCAGTGAATCATTCGAGTCGATGATTCGGATCCGGAGCTGAGCTGATAGGCTGGAGAGCTGCTTTTCGCATTTCGGTTGTTTGCTTTTGTGTGGATCTTTCGCTCCCCCAGAGAATGATGGGAGGAGAGGTGAGAGCACATATGCTGGAGGAATGACATCAGCAATAAGAGCCGGGTACATAAATAAACTGGATAATACCAGTAGAAAATTAAGATCGTGTAGCACATGTACATATTTCTCTCTCTCCTATCAGACGCTTGGTGACTGTTCAATGCGTAAGTGGAATAATGAGCCTTTTTTTGAAAAGTTCCGGATTGAATGGTTTAGACTTGTGATATCAGTGAGCTGATGAGCTGCGGTTCCTAAAAAATGAACCGCGGATCATCAGCTCACTTTAGAGAATCGGGTCTATAGAATAGCTCGGGAGCGGATCACCCATTTCTATTTGAGATATCGAAGTGTGTATGTGTGTTCTTTTACCCCTCACCAAGCTGGGAGCGTTAGACAAATAGAACTGCGAATAATCTAATGCTCCGTAATGATGCCCTTTATGTTTTGATAAATTCGAAGGTAGTTCTGAAGAAACTATTACAGGGATTGTGAGGAGAATTTCTGGGAAATCTAGAGCAATTCAAAGTCATTTTTGAGCAAATTTCCAAAGAATTCTGAGCAGCATTGCAGGATGATTCGGAAAAATGTTCCAAGAATATAGAGAATAATTATGAGAGAATCGAATTCTCAGATCAGTTCCAAATAAATTCCTACAGATTCTCTCAAGGGAATTTTGAGAAGAATTCCAAAAGAATTCTGAGAAATAATTCCGTGGATTTCTGTGTGATGTGCGACAATACTTTGGAGAACCTCTGGTGAATTTCAAGAGGATATTTCCTAGATGATTCCAATAAGAATTTCAAGAAAACTGTGAGGTAACTCAACGGAATTCTGAGGAGAATTCCGAGGTAAGGAATGGAGAAGTTTTCTAGATTCTGAAATGCTCTCAAGGTTCTAAAGTTTACAAAGTTATTAAAACTGTCGGACATAGGACATCAACGCACTTTTGAGATATCGAAGTGTGTGTGTGTTCTTTTACCCCTCACCCAGCTGGGAGCGTTGGACAAAT